GGATCATGGGAGCCACAACTGCAAAGGAAGCATGGAATACCTTAAAGGGGGAATTTCAAGGCAATGCCAAGGTATGTGCGGTTAAACTACAAACTTTGAGAAGAGATTTTGAAAACAATAAAATGAAGGATTCTGAGACCACACAAAACTATTACGCTAAAATAAAAGAAATAATCAATCCATTGAGAGCCTATGGAGAAAATATTAATGATTCAAGAATTGTAGAAAAAATACTTATAAGTCTTCCTGATAAGTATGATCCTTTAGTTACTGCCACTAAGCAGACAAAAGATTTAACTAGTCTGTTAGTGGCAAAACTAATGGGCTTTCTTAAAGCATATGAGAAAAGACTGAGTAGGCTAAATGAAAATTCATCAGTTGAAAGCGCCTTTAAGTCAAAACTAAATTTAAGGTCTTAGAAAACTAAAGAAGGGGAAAGAAAATTTGGAGAAAGTTCTAGAGGAGAAGATTATAAATCCAATAAGAATTGGGGAAATAAAAAAGAAATGAAAGAGAGGAAAAACTATCCTCCCTGCGGGGTGTGTAAAAGTAAAATGTCGAGATTGTAAAAAATTTGGGCACATAGAAAAAGACTGTCAAACCAAGAACTATCAACCCAATTACTCAAAAGAAAGTAGAAGAATGAGCATGTATTTTATGCTCATCAAGCCACATCATAAGGAAACAAAAGAAAATAGTATATTGACAGTAGCTGTAGTAACCACATGACTCGAGATGAAAGCATCGCCTCCAACATAGACAAGTCCGTAAAATCCCAAGTAAAACTGGGAAATGGAGCACTGGTGAAGACAAAATGAAAAGGTACAATCTCTATCCAAACTAATAAAGGAACTAAATATATTAAAGATGTTCTACTAGTACCTAGCCTAGAGCATAATCTATTAAGTGTTGGACAATTGATTGAAAATGGATACTCTTTGCACTTTTCTAGAGACTCTTACACAATATTCGATAAAAGAAATTAAAATCACATAATAACAAAAGTAAGGATGGTAAATAGAAATTCTCCCATCCAATAGCAATTTGTAAAAGCCACAGCCATGAAAGCAGAAGTAGAAAATTCATGGTTATGACATTGAACATTTGGCCACTTTAACTTTTATGCACTATAAACTCTTTATCAAAAGAATATGATGAGAGACCTTCCAAACATAAAAGAGATCCATGACGTCTGTGAAGGTTGCCAACTTGGCAAACAACATCGACAAGCATTTCCATCTGGAAAGGCTTGGAGAGCTAAGACCTTGTTGGAGCTTGTTCACACAGACGTTTGTGGACCCATGAGGACTCCATCTCTTGATAACAACATGTACTTTATCCTGTTCATAGATGAATATACTAGAATGACGTGGGTTTATTTTCTACAAGAAAGATAAGAAGTATTTGATATCTTCAAAAAATTCAAAACTCATGTCGAAAAACAAAGTGGCCACTATATTAAAGCACTAAGAAGTGATAGAGGAAAAGAATATACCTCTAAAGAATTCAACAAATTTTGTGAAGATGAAGGAGTATAGCATCAACTAACAGTTGGCTATGCTTCTGAACAAAATGGAGTCTCATAAAGAAAAAATAGAACTGTCATGGAGATGGCAAGATCCATGATATTTGAAAAAGGCTTGCCAAACACATTCTGGGCAAAAGCTGTATATACAGCATTATACTTGCTAAATAGATGCCCAACAAAAGCTTTACAAAATAAGACTCCTATATATTGAGGCTTGGAGCAATATAAAGCCATCAGCAAAGCATCGCAAAGTATTTGGATGCATTTGCTGTGTCCACATTCCTACGGAGAAAAGACACAAGCTAGAAGAAAAATCTGAAGTTGGTATATTTCTGAGATACAGTTCCCAATCTAAAGGCTATCAAGTCTACAATCCCATAAGTAAAAAGTTCATGACAAGCCGAGATGCTGAGTTCGATGAATTGGCGTCATGGAACATGGAGGAAGAAAAAGTTGAAAGGAAAAGTGTTTAGTTAATTACTAATCAAAGTAATTGAAAAAGAGAAATACATATTATGCTGCTTAAAGGGTGTGGCCTACCTTTTTATTAAAATAAGAAAAAGAAAATTTAAAACTGAGTATCACCGTGCGACTATACTATTTTTAAATATAAAAAGGACGACTCCAATGTTTAGGAGCCACGTGTCAGCACAAGTCTACTTTTTAAAAAAAAATTAAAAAACACATAGTATAGCCGTGCGGCTGTGCTCTTTTTATTTAAAGAACCCTCCAGCAATTAGGCGCCACGTGTCCAAAAAAAGAAAAAGAAAAACATAGTACAGCCACACGGATATACTATTTAAATACACTATATTTAAAAGGGCTACACTATTTAATAAATACATAAAAGAAAAAAGGACCCCCCAAGTTGCATTAGTTTGTACTTTATAGGTATTAATTTGCTAGTTTAAATATATCCAAAGTAGATATTAATCGGCAACTATACAATATTTTAATATAATTTTTATAACGTATATTATTCTTATTCAATAATACGTGAACTTTGTGCGTCTTAATGAAAATTTTGTGAAAAGTATGTGTATTAAGCATTAGAAATATGTACGAACATGTACAATACGACTATTGTACGTTTGGTTTTTAAAACAATGAGACTACTTGGGCATGCGTTTAAAACACAATTACTAATTAAAAAAGGAGACTTCTTTGGTTTTTAAAACACAATTACTAATTAAAGTAATTCAAAAAGGACAAGATATTACTTAATTACATATATTAAATTAAGGAAGTTGGCCAAAAGAAAAGTAAAGAAACTAATTTTATATTTTTAAAATTTAAAATTTAAAAAAAAAATACATGATCACTTTTCCCGACGAAATTTCATCGGCATAGATCTATGCCGGCAAAAGTTGCCGGATTAGGTTTCCCCGATGAAAATACTTGTGCCGACGAAATTTCGTTGAGAGAGGTCTTACTTTTAAAAAATAAAATAAACTTAGGATGTTTAGGTTAATTAATTAATTTTATTTTTAGTAACTACATAACATATTTGCCTGATTTAATTAGTTAAATTAGCTATTATATTTTAATTATTATTTATTTAATGACTAATTATGATTAAATACTTTATTTAACTTCATGAATTATATTACTTAATAAATAGTAATTCAATTTTTCTTTTTCTTTTTTTCCTTTAATATTCACTAAGTAAATAATCACTGAAAGGTTTAGTTAATTACTAATCAAAGTAATTAAAAAAGTGAAATACATATTATCCTACTTAAATGGTGTAGCCTACCTTTTTATTAAAATAAGAAAAAGAAAATTTAAAACTGAGTATCACCGTGCGGCTATACTATTTTTAAATATAAAAAGGAGGACCCCAACATTTAGGCGCTATGTGTCAATACAAGTCTACGTTTAAAAAAAAATTAAAAAACACAGAATATAGCCGCGCGGCTATACATTTTTTTATTTTTTAAAAAAGGACCCTCCAACGATTAGGCACCGCATGTCCAAAAACAGTATAGCCGCCTGGCTATACAATTTTATACTTAAAAAGGCTATACTATTTAATAAATAAATAAAAGAAAAAAGGACCCTCTAAGTTGCATTAGTTTGTACTTTATAGATATTAATTTGCTAGTTTAAACATATCCAAAGTAGATATTAATCGGCCACTATATAATATTTTAATATAATTTTTATAACGTATATTATTCTTATTCAATAATATGTGAGAATTATTTGTATAATACGTGAACTTTGTGTGTCTTAATGAAAATTTTGTAAAAAAGTATGTGTATTGAGCATTAGAAATACGTACGAACATGTACAATATGACTATTGTACGTTTGCTTTTTAAAAAAAGGAGATGAGTATAGAACACGAATGTATTTATTGAAAACTATGTACACACACACACATAATTATATTTATATATATTACGGCTATTGTGGACAGATGTCGAAGCAAGCTCCTTGGGAATTTCTTGGGCACTTCTAGTGAATGCGTTGAATGGGCACTTCTTGGACCAAAAATATCATTGAAAACATTAGTATTTCGAAAGTTCATTTTTCATACTTAATCAAATTTTGAGAGAAAACAGTTTTTCAAGTAGATGTGTGTGTAGTAATCTATATTATTGTGCATCAAAATTTGACTACATATCATTTATATAGCATGGCTTGACTCCTTAAAATTGAGGAGTAGCTCCTCCTCACAACAAATAGGGTTTTGACACTTCGTCAAATTGCTTGAACTTTATTTTCTTTTGAATTCCTTGAATTATTTTTTCTTTTGGAATTTTACAAGTGCCATTATCTCATTTGTTGAGAGGAGGAGCTCCTCCTCAATTTTAAGGAGCCAAGCCATGCTCCAAATGAAACCCTCCACCCCACTTGCTTTCATTTTCCCTTCCCATGGGAAACTAAAGTACGCATTAAATGCACCATTTTCATGACCAATTAGTTTCCGTTAACAATTTAGAATTACAATTTATCCCACAACAAAGACTCTTTGTATTCTTTTTTTAAATTTTATTTATTTTATATTTCTAACTTGCTTATAATTGGAAAACTAAACAAAGTTTGATTCTCATTCTTACGCAAACCAAACATGGAAAAAAAAATAAAGTGATATTTCCTAATTACTTTCCCAAACATTACCAAGCATGGGAAATGATTTCCCATCAAATCTTTTGCAAACCAAACGGAGCATCAAGAATAAGTCAATAGTTTTATCTACCAGACAAGTAGAACATTATATAGGATCATTAGCGGGCTAATTGATTATAATATATTATAGTTACAATAACTTATTGGAGAATTCCTCCACTGTTACTTTCCACCAAAGGCTATAACCTCCTAATCAAGTAGCATTTCGCGAGTTGCGGTCTGTATGGTTGCCTTGCTGCTTTGCATGCTTAGGTCTTCCCCGTGCTTATTCAATTCTTGGGACCTAATGAACTCTTGTATTCTTCCCTTCAATTCATTGCTGGTATAGCATGTCCGCACAATTCATTGTCTGGTATCAGCATGTACGCCGTAAGATGGGAGCGGTTGAACGGATCCGACTGCAAATCACATTAAGTACATAAATTAGCACGCAAAGGAGATACATTTCATAAGATCAAGATTAATTAGCAGTGTTGATGATGTACATTATCACTAAGAAGATGCCTTTGGATGACAGGTCGGTCTACCGTGATTCTTGAAGAAGGCAAGATAACTGGATCCTTCATTAAAGTGTACTGCATGAAAGGAAATACAAATATTTATAATCAAAGCCGCGTTCCAACCTACCTACCTACCCACAAACACAAAAAACATACCTGAATTGGATCAAGGAATTCATCTGGTATGTCCCCGAGAGCAGCTTCAGCGTCCATGCCCTCAGAAGCAGCAACTTTGCCTCTGGCACCAAGCTCAATAAATTCCTGTATGACCCTCCCATCTTCTCCAATTCTCCTTAGGACATCCACTGCAGCACTAAACAGCTGGAGAAATATCCAATGACACATGTTTGCTTCCATACAACTCAAACATAATGATATTCTTGGAAGACAACTAGAAACCAAAATAATAATAAGTGCACAGAAGTAAAGTAAAGCTTTGCCTCATCTTAAGTACCTGCTCATTGTACGACCGACCATCCTTTGAGATGGCAGCTGGAAAAATATTTTCTGTATCACCCTTCGCCAAATGAACGTATATGTATACAATCTTGAAATAAATTCATAAGACTTCTCCTTGCTCCAAAATATGGTGCAGTTTAAGTCATTGATTATCTTCATTTGTCTCTCGTGAGACTTTTTCTTTGCTCTCTCCTCCATGTATATCTGGTGGTTCAATCTCCGCCATTCATTTCAATGTCTGAACTTTCTGTAACTTATTAGTTTTATGTTGTTGTCATCTTTTATTTATGCAATAAGGATCCTTTGTGGTATATATTGTCTTAGAATTGTTTGATTGTTTTTTATTGTTTTTTACATTGGTTTCATACATAGTAGAGAGATGTCAAACAAGGACCTTGAAAATGAGCTTGATGATAAAGCTAATTGGCCAAAGCCTATTGAGGACCATTTTATTCATCTATTACATGAAGAGGCAAAAAAAGGCTTGCAAACCAATACTTTAGATAAGAATGAGTGGGCTGGGATAGAGAAGAAGTTGTTTGACAAGTTTGGGAAAAGATACCACCGTGATAAATTGAAGCAAAAATATAACCGATTGCGCAAGATTCACCGTGAGTTTGGAAAGCTCATTTCTCAAACTGGGATGGGTTGGGACCCAAACATTCATTTGATGTTGGTTTTTTGGGTACAAAGCGGCTGTTGGCAACTTACCTTGATACCTCTCTGCCCATCTCTCTCTCTCTCTCTCTCTCTCTCTCTCTCTCTCTCTCTCTCTCTCTCTCTCTCCACCCCATAGTGACCAAAAACAGCAGCTTTGGTAACTTTGTTTTGGAACAAAGCAGCTTTGGTAACTTGATGTTTGTTTGAGTAAAAGAGGCATTGTAACTTTCTTTTAACAGTCAAAACCAACTTGTTATTGAGAGTGGGGAAAAGAAGCAGCTTTGGTAGCTATTTTTGGGTAGAAACTAGAAAACAAGCGTCTTTTGGCAACTTGATTGCAATTTGCCGAAAATATCTTAATTATAAAAAATGAAGAAAAAAAATTGTTTTCAAGAATTCAACCAAACAAGTTTTAAGATTCAAAAACAGTTTTCAAGTTCCATACCAAACAACTTTTTAAAACTTAAAAAATGAATTTGAGAACCCCTTGTTTTTAAGAAAAATAACAATTTTTGAGTTCCCTACTTAGATAGGATACCAAACAGGCTCTTACTTTCCACCATAAGGTACAACAGAGCCATTGTTCTGATTCGTCTCAACTCTGAACCGGTTCAATCGCATCCCTTTCAGGTTACAACACCCAAACGTTGTCGTTTACACCTCCAAAATTCATGAGAGTAAAAGAATGGCGAAAGAGAGCAATTGGGTTTTCTTGTGGGCCAAAGATATATCTGTATCGGCTAATGAGCCCATTTCCTTTTAAAGTCAGGAAAAAAAAAAATTGTATCGCCGTGCGGCTAGACTCGGTTTTTTTATTATTATTTTTTAATAGTATAGCCGCGCGTCTTTACTCGTTTCTTTTTTTAAAAGGACCCCAGTATAGCCGGGCGGCTATACTCGGTGTTTCGCTAAAAAAATTAGTATAGCCGCGCGGCTATAATAGATTTTTTCCCTTTTTTTAAGGAAGAAAAAGTATAAACTAGTACAACTAGGAGGGTCCTTTTTTCATTTCTTTATTAAATAGTATAGCCGAACGGCTGTACTCTGATTTTTTCAATTTTTTAAAAATGAAATCGTATAGAAATTAGACGGCTTGAATAGTTTGCACTTGGTTTCTAGAGCCTCCAGACCTTGATAAAATAGCATGGGCATTCCCCAACCGCGAAAGAGATGGATTTACATGACACGTTCCTAAATTAGACAGCTCTGGTGCACTTTAATGTCAAAGTAATTGGTGAAACTACTTGACCCAAAATCTGGCTGGATTTTGTGGTTGTAATCTGAGGCAACTGAAAGAGCAAGGGGTCCTTCCTTGCCTAAAATAGTAGTGAACTTTGAGTTTAGCTTCGTCATTTTTCACCTTTCATTTCATCCTAAACCCTCTGCAATTTTCCCCTTATTGAACAGATGGAGAGGTGGAGAGCTTCAAGTTGATCCCTGTGATGCATGTTGCAAACATCATACGAAGGACACGATTTTTCAAGCCAAATTGCTCTCTTGTCATCATTGATTTCCTGAAACTATATTCTTCTGCCAATTTAGAGGAAGGAATCTTGAGCATATTAACAAATCTTGTCATTTTTCCTAAGTGCAGATGCAGCTCTGGAGAAATACTTTGGGAGCACCCTTTCCAAGACCTTGAAGAGCTTCATTTGCCCACTCCACCACGGCAACACAACAATGATTCACCAACAACAACAAAACAAAAAGGCAAACCACAATAATTAACAGTAATCTCCTTATAAATTGTGGCTTTAGCTTCCACTTCCACCACCAACAAACTTCGAGAATCAAGCAGAGTTGCATTAAAAAAAACAACGAAAAGTGAGGAGCAATGGATGCTAGTGTGTTCAGGGCTGCGGTTCCAAATGGCAACACTCTTGGTCAAGAAAAGTGAGGAGCAATGCATGATTAAATGCAAGTTAACTCTTTCGGATGTTGTGTATAATTGTACACAAAATTGTGCCAACTCCATTGCCATCACAAGGATTATTGAGGTAATGTTAAGATATAATGAACACTTACAAAAATTTCACTCCCCTGGGCAGTTTAGATAATGATATTCGTCCTACAATGTAATTTTAGGACTTTTTGTTGTTTGAAAAAGATGTCCGTTTCTCCGATGATCAATTTACAAATTTTTTAATACTAGTACCTAACTTAATCCAGTTATGTCTATAAATATTACATAAAATGGTTCTTCTGCTTGAGCTTTTACAAAAATATTATGCAAATAGGAAGTACTTCTTAACTTTAGCAACAATCCATTTTGAATCATCTTAATCGATTAAATCCTGCCAAGAACCTGCAAATGACAACAAAACAGAGCCTCATTTAAAATTGTATCAACAACCAGAAGCAATAAAACCATGCACTACCAAATCTCTTCATCACTTTCACAAAAGAGTAAGATTTCAAACCCACATAAGCATGTAACCAGATTCCAACTCACCCCACAGATCAAAAGCTAAGACTGACTTTCAGAGAAACCAACACAGAACAGAACCGAGTAAACTATTGCATACTCTGACATGACATCAGCCAAAATAAAATCAATGGAGGAACATAAATTCAAGCCTTAAGTCAGGACTAAAAGTAAAATTCACCGACACCGCATTAAAAGAGAGAAATAATTGCAAAATTACAGGGGATGAATCTCAGAAACAGCAGGAAACATATAAAACTCGGGTCATCAGTAAAGCACTAGGAAGGATACATAAGCATTGGAGGGCACCGGAATACCAAGTGAGTATAACCCCAAAAAAGCTATCAACAAGATATGAAGCACACCAGGGTGTGCATTGATTTCCATATCATGCCAAATACAACCAAACTGGATGGAAGAGAAATCAATATGCACTTGCAAAACACGAGACCACAAACTCATACGAAGATTGATATCAAAGTCATAAATCAATGGTCCAACAAGATATAAATCAATCGTAGTTGTAAAGTCAGAGAGAGATGTGTGGGTTCACTAATGGAGAGTTGGAGAGCTATGCTTTACGCATTTATAAAGTATAGCCGCGCAGCTAAACTTTTAAAATTTCTATTTATAGAGTATAATATTTCTTAAAATTTCTTATAAAATATCTAATTTTATATTTTTTACTCGGCTCTTTTTCTATTTTTTTCTCTTAATAAATAGTATAGCCGAACGGCTATACTAGTTTTTCTAATTTTTTAAGAAATAGTATAACCGCGCGGCTATACTCTTTTTTTCTATTTTTTTTTAAGAAATAGTAAACAATTTGAGTAAAAGGTCTTCCTTTTTATTTTAATGAATATGTTTTTATGTTATTTCGTACTGCACAATTCCTTTCTTTGTGGGATCGTTTTCTCACGAAAGGGAACTAAAATAAATTATATAATGGATTAATACACTTATGTCTAGATCTAGAATAAATGGAAATTTTATTGATAAAACCTTTTCAATTGTAGTTATACCACCAAGAAGCTCAAGCTTGAGCACCTTCAAACCATACCCGTACCTCGTCACCATTCTAAAAAGTTGGGCGCTGGACACATGCCCAATATTTGTCTTGTACTACAATCAACTAAAGATCCAAACATCTTTTCTATAATATAATCCATTTAATTAGCATCGTTTGCTTTCATCCACGTTGAGTTATACATTACTAGAAAACCTCAAAAAGAATCACAGACCAGGAACTCAGAATATTGCTGCCATAATTATCAAATCAATAATGTTATTTGAACCACATTTATATTGATCACATTGCTGACTATGTTTATTAGAGAGGTGAGCCCTGCCAATGTATTTGGGAGGAACCCACCTGTATTAGAGAGGCGGTCAGCAATGCAGTCTAAATAGCAACACCCTTATCAAATAGTATATCGTTCGAACAGGACGATCATATAAAAACAAATTAATATATTAAAAAGCTGTATGGACAAACTTGGGGATGAACATATAAAAGAATTTGGAAATCGGTTTTTGTGGATTGAATTTTCTCCAAGGACTGGAAAACAAAGAAACTAACAATTTGAAATTTTCTATATTACGCTGAGTTAAGCTACAGAATCGAGTAGCTGGACTTCTTGTTTTTAAAGAGGCATGACAAAATGTTGGATTGTAATGTTCATATAGAATTAATGAAACTTAGCTTTTATTTAAAAAGAAAAAGAAAAGGAAGGAACAAGATTTATACGTATATATATTGGAAAAGTTGTGAATCGACTTCTTACTCAGAAACATAGAGGCGGCACTTGGTTCTTATGTAAATCATAAAACAGTGAAAATAATAATAATTTGCCCAACAACTGCTTTGGCTGACTACAATTCGTCAAATATTAATCATCCATATTTAGGCACCCAATATAATGTTATTTTTCTCTAGAATTATATATATAATGATGTATAAACACCAAAAATTGCTAAATTATAAATTTAACTTTTGAGGTGAGACCTAATTAATGAAGGAATTTTTTCCATACAAAAATGCTTTTTTAATTTATTAGTACAAGCGATAGTCTAAACTACAAGGAATGAGGGTTTCTCACACACACACAATCAAAATGTCATGAGGGTTCGAACCTGAGACCTTTTGTCTGCAAGTCAAAACACTTTTCTAATAGGCTAGACCCCGTTGGCAAAATAAAGCATAGCAAACCAACTTCACTAGGCATATATTGTGCCGACAAAAAGACTTAATCGAATGGACTCAATGCAAATTATCTTCAAAGAAAAAGGCTCCATTACAGTCAAGATCAACTAAATCAAACCATACCTGCAATTGATCAAGAAAATCAACAATAGTTCTGTCATTTCCGTACAATGAGAAAACAATGTATATTATGAATACTACCAAACCGCCTAAATTACATCCACCAATTAATAATAATTTGAAGCTCACCTGATAAATATTTCGGACTGAACTGGGGGCGGTGTTCACTGATCATATCCATGACATCAAAAGAGAAACACCTTCAATTATGCTCAAAATGATAGTCCTGTATGAATCGCTTGAATAGAATATCTCAAACGTATAGCCGAGTGGCTATACTTTATATATTACAATCGCTTAACAGTATAGCCGCACGGCTATACTCCAAAATAGAATATCTTAAACGCACAGCCGGTGGGTTATACGCCAAAAATAGAATATTTTAATAGTATCGCCGCGCGGCTAAACTCAAATTTTTAATAGTATAGCCGCGCGGCGAAACTCAAAATAGAATATTTTAACAGGCTAGCCGCTCGGCTAAAATCAAAATAGAATATTTTAAATGTATAGCCGCCCGGCTATACTCAAAATAGAATATCTTAAAATTATAGCCGTGCGGCTATAAACAAATAGAATTCCTTAAAATTAGAGCCGCCAGTATAGCCGCTCGGCTATACCTAAAAGAAAAGGAGGATCTCAACTCACAGTTGGGTGTTGAGTTATTTTTTAAGCTACTCAGAAAATCAAATGTAGAGAGAACCAAATGGGGTTGAGAGCGAGAGGTGTGGGGGCATTGCCAAACCTCATTCGAAGCCTCCGGAAGGAAGCCCACCCAAAGCAACAATCACTTCCGTCTCTGAGGCGCGCCTTCTCTCTCTACGATCAGATCAATCTCATCGACAACGTCCCTGATGACCAGCTTCGCTTTCAACGGTGCCTGCCTGCCTGCCTTCCTCTTCCTTTGTTTCTTCAATTAATTTTCTCTTCTTGAAATGAATTCACTTTTGCTTTGTTTGTAAACCGAAAAACAACCACTAATTACAGTTGTGCCACTTATTGTGATGAAGGTACACTGAGACAGGATTCAGAGTGAATGGGGTGGACTATGAAGGAAGCTTGCTTTGTGTTGGAAATATGTTGATGTCTTGGGCTCCCACCAAGTTCTCTCATGTCACTCCTGATAGGTCTTTCTTTGCTAATGCTTGAAATTTTAATTTTGTTTTTCTGGCATTTTTGTTAATTGAGGATAAAACTCTTAATAATCAATTAAAGCTTAATTAGAGCAAAGAAATCTACCCAAAATACCAAAAAAAAAAAAAAAAAAAAGGGTAGAGCAGTGAAATAGCAGTTTTATCTAAATTTCATCTATTTTATGTTGTGATGCAGCTTATCAATGTTTCAAATCGTGCGGCCTATACCTGGTAAATTTCAAATTTCGGTTTAATCCCGTTATTTTGCCTCCAAATTTGTTTTCTTTTTTCTTCCTTCTTGTCAGGTGCACCTTGTTCTAGATTGTCCTTCATCAATTACTTTAGGTAGACTCATAGAGAGAATTTAGAACAATTTTCTTTTTCTGTAAGAAGCAGCAAGTCAATATATGATCAATTCCTTTGTATGAAACATGGACTCCCAGCTAACCAATCATATAGAGAGCATTCGGCGCAAGCTGTTATTTAGTACTAAGTCATCGGTAAAAAACCTTTACATTCTCAGTTGAAATGTGGAAGCTTACTGACTTCCCTTATATTATTAACTTGTGTAATGAAACGTATAATATTGTAATCATGTTTCACCTCTTGCTTCCAAATCTGAAACAGTAATGACCTAATAGTACATTCTATGCTGATGGAAAAATTGAAATGTCAACCAAAATGTTATGTACAACATTTTCCTCAATCAAGGGATTATTGAAATTTGTATCCCTCAAAATACTTTCTTTTCCTCTTTACCTTGCTGTGTCTGGACATAACATGCTCACCTCTTTACTCTGAAGTTATTTGTTGTTGCCATTCTTATTATTCTTGGCTAACTGCTTTTTTCATTGACATCTTATTTTGATAATTTATTTCAGAGATTTTGATTCTTGGCACTGGGAGAAACATTGAACCCGTAGATCCTGAACTACGACGCTTCATTCGCTCTACGGGAATGAAGTTAGAAGCCGTTGACTCGGTATATTTCATCACTGTGCCTATTTTATTCATTTTTTCTTGCACAGTATTTTTATTATGGCCGCTTAATGTTCTGATTTATCTGACAAATGAATACCTAACATTGATTTGTAAGGAAATTCGATGTTGCTACGTTATTCATCAAATATTAAATGCTGTTATCCTAATGTTATATATAGAAAGCTTTAGGAAATTAGGAAAGTAGAGGATATCAGGAATTTGGGGTTTGATCAATAATATCACGTTCAAATAATTTAGAATTTAAGTATTACAGAAGTACAGTAACTTGTCACATAAAGTGTAATTTCATTTCTAGGTTCCACATGGACCCCTAAAATCTTGATGTACAATGAATTACTACTCTAGTATGGTGGGAACTTTCTTTCTGCATATCCAGACAAGGATTAATAGCACTTCCCCTCCTACAAACAAATGCGATGGGGGATTTGATCATGTCTCTTGTTAATTAGAATTCTTTATTAACCAACCTAATTCCCACTTTATGCAAGCTTTAGCAATCACTATGATAGTGTGGAGCCCTTCTTATATTTTCCTTGTACATCAGTGGGCTGTCATTTGTGACAATAGTTTGTATATTTGGGACTATCAATTTCACTGGTAGGTAATTATGAACTAGCTCTTCAGGTGTTTTTGCTTTACTGAAATTGGCTGATGCCACAAGGGATAAAAGTGAAAGATTGAGTGGGAAAGGGGAGAATTTGATTTAGACCCAATCCCCCTGTTTTCAGTTTCAAATAAATTCACTCACTTATCCGCTGCGTAGTGTTTAAATCTCAGCATTGGCAATTATGAGTTCTATTGGGTAGTTTCACATGTGACACTAACTGGAGATGACTCTTATCTAGTTTCAAATGTTGAGCCACCAGGAGGCTAGAGTTAAAATCTGTAACCAAATTTTACTTTCTCTTAGTTATACTTCCCCATGAAATCTGGGGTTTTCAAAGATTATGAAGAGTATTTCCCCCTCCATGAGTTTCAAGGTGGTCTTTATGTTCTGAATTGGTGATTTTGCCAAATTTAAGTTTATTATTCTCTCCGGAGTATAACCAAATGGCATCTGTATTAGGAAATATCCTGAATATAACTTGTTTTCTGTGTGAGGCCCTAACCTGCCATCTTTCTTCAGTTTTGTTGCATACCTCCTTCTAAGTTGAACACAGATTCAACTTCAAGTCCTATATTAGCCTCTTCCAATGATTGTGATTGGGGCCTGTAGTTCCAATGAGTGGAGAAATAAAAAACTGATATGGCAATTGATGCTCCATTTTCAACTTGGCTTTATAACAGTAGTGGGTTCTACTACCAAGTTCATAATATTGTCTCATTTTTGTTTCAGAGAAACGCCATATCAACTTACAACATACTGAATGAGGAAGGTAGGATTGTGGCTGCTGCGCTTTTACCGTATGGAGCTTCTTAATGGTGCCTTGACCCAGTGCAAGATGAGTGCTTTCTGCGTCCTAACAATCAATCTTCTTCCTCACTAGGTACATACAACCTCAAGCAAAATGAATGCATTTATAATGTAACTAGTGACTAAGAGGCATGCTACATCGATTTTCGTAGTGTAGTTAAGGTGGTCTGTTGCTGCTGTATGCATGCTCAAGTAATTCATTCTGATATGGTAAGCATATCTCTATGGTAGATACCCTCGAGGCTATCTTAAAAATCTTACTGCAGAAGTTCGTGATAAAAAAAGATACTATTCTTGCAGAAATTTTCCGAATAAAATCATCTTGAAGTTCAAGTATATTCCAATATGAATAAAGTTGGAATTTGTGAAATGTTGAATTCTATTTCTTAAAGGCATATGAGCCTATCACATTCAGATAAAACGTGTAGAATTTTATGAAGTATATTCAGATGGAAAAAAAAGAAGAAAAAGAAAAGGCGTGTTACCTTTTATTATTATATTCTTTATTCGATTGAAATAGTAAACCTGTCGTGGCAAAAGAAATTGAGAACCAAACTAAAAATATCTTTTTTGGGTTTAGAACCAAACCAAAGATTTTGGGTAACTCTTCGTGTTTTAGCTAAGATTAGGTGACTTTGGCTCCACAAGGGATCCGGATCCTTAAAGTCCTCCTTGAACGGTGCAAGTTCAACCAATGGAAAAAGGATTCAATTCCTCATAAAAAAGATTGAAAGTTAGTTGTAAGGAGCACTGTATATGGAGAAAAACTTCCCTATGTGCCTATTTGTCATCCTTTCCCTATGTGACTATGTCATTATCACACTTCATATTTGTTGGGTCATTAGAAGAGAATTGCTGTGGTCAGTAGTCGGTGCGTGAACGCATCCTAGCCATAGATTGCCCATGCGGCAACGTGCGAATTCAAAGATGAGAGAAATCAAGAGTGGCCTACTGCACAGAAGCTCCTACAGTTTCGTCAAATGTATCTCTGGTTGCTGTCAAACTCAAATGTACCTCTTGCCTTTCCAAAATCAAAATTGTTACTAGGTTCGATTCCTTCTTTTAATATCGCTTGTATAAAAAAAAATTATATCAATGACCAGCTTTAATGAAAGTTGAGAAATCATATTTGGGAAATCCAATCCAAATAAATTAGTTAGGTCAAATAAACAATGTAACGTCTAATCTCATTCTCAGAAACTTCCAGTTTTCTTTTTTTTCTTTTACTAAATGCAGTGACTTCCAGTTTTGTGACGCTTAGTCTCATTGAAATTCATAACGGCCAGTCCCCGTTAAAAAACAGAAAAAATAATCATGCCCAAAACACACATATGCATGTATGGCAGTTGCATATACATGGATCCTTCAAACTTTAAAATCTACTGTTACTGTGGATTAAAATTTGACTATTTTATTTGGTTCGACTGGTCCCACTTTCTGGGATGTTACAGCAAGTTCCAGTCACTGTGCATGGAGTCGGTTTGTTTTTCATGTAATAAGGTTCCTGATGCACCCAAGAATAGAAAGAAAAAAAAAAAAAGACGAAAGCAAAAAGAACTCAGACCCGAAAAACCAACCATAAATCCACAGCATCCGAACAACTCTCTTTGTCAGTATATCTTTCTTGATTCTATTTTTACTACAAGTTTTCCACGCCACCTTTTCCATTCTTCTCTCTGTTGCCTCTGCCTATAAATCCCAGCACAGCCTTCCCATTTTTTCAGTGCAAAACCAAACTTTCAATCACTTGTAAATCACTCTTCACTCATTCATTTCTTTCTTTCTTTGCTCTCACTGTGTGTTTTGTTTTGGTGAATTGTGATCTCTCTTTTATAGCTTCTGTACAAGTCAAGTGTGTCAACAAATTGCAAATTCCCGTTAACCAAGGTTTTCTTTTTAGCTAGGTTTGAGTTGTAGAACTTCTTGTAATTCATCTTCCTTTCTCTGTTTTTCTGTCCTCATGGCACCTCCTGATGATCCTGTTAGTCCAATCCTCAGTTTGTGTCGGTCCAACGGTTTAGAACAATACTTTGATTTGTCTAATGGAAAGTTTAGTGTCAAAGGTGTTCCATTGCTCTCTGAAGTTCCAAGCAATGTCACTTTTAATCACTTCCACTCAACCTCCCAATCTTCTGATGCTCCATTTCCTCTAATCCAACGCGTTCGTGCCTTGTCCCACAAGGGCGGGTTCCTTGGATTCAACAAGGAGGAGCCCTCAGATAGGTTGATGAACTCCTTGGGTAGATTCAGTAACAGGGATTTCCTTAGCATCTTTAGGTTCAAGACCTGGTGGTCTACAATGTGGGTGGGGAATTCTGGGTCAAGTTTGCAAATGGAAACCCAATGGGTGCTCTTAGATGTCCCAGAGATTAAGTCCTATGTGATAATCCTGCCCATTATTGAAGGCAGTTTTAGGTCTGCTCTTCATCCTGGCACTGATGATCATGTAATGATCTGTGCTGAGAGTGGTTCTACGCAAGTGCAAGCATCGAATTTTGATGCCATCGCTTATGTTCATGCCTCTGAAAATCCCTACAACTTGATGAAAGAAGCCTATAGTGCTCTCAGGGTCCATCTCAATACCTTGAGGCTGTTAGAAGAGAAGACAGTCCCAAATCTAGTTGACAAATTTGGTTGGTGTACTTGGGATGCCTTCTACTTAACTGTAGAACCTGTTGGTGTCTGGCATGGTGTCAAAGAATTTGTTGAAGGCGGTGTATCCCCTAGGTTTCTCATCATTGATGATGGCTGGCAAAGCATCAATTTGGATGGTGAGGACCTGCATGAGGACGCGAAAAATCTAGTTCTTAGTGGGACTCAAATGACTGCTAGGCTTCACAGGTTTGAGGAGTGCAAGAAGTTCAGGAACTACAGAGGAGGGTCTATGTTGGGCCCTGATGCTCCTTCATTTGATCCTAAAAAGCCAAAGTTGTTGATAGCCAAGGCAATTGAAATAGAGCATGCTGAGAAGAATCGTGACAAGGCCATTCAATCTGGAGTCACTGACTTGTCCGAGTTTGAAACAAAAATTCAGAAGCTGAAGCAAGAGTTGAAAGAGATAATTGGTGAAGAAGAAAGCAGTGCTTCTAATGAAGGCTGTGGAAGCTGTTCTTGCGGAGCTGATAACTATGGAATGAAGGCCTTCACAAGCGATTTGAGAACCAAATTTAAAGGTTTAGATGATATATATGTATGGCATGCTCTCTGTGGTGCCTGGGGTGGTGTTAGGCCAGGTGCAACCCATCTCAGTGCAAAGGTCATCCCCTGCAAAGTCTCTCCTGGACTTGATGGGACCATGACTGACCTTGCTGTGGTGAAAATCGTTGAGGGGGGGATCGGGCTTGTTAATCCTGATCAAGCCGATAATTTGTTTGACGCTATGCACTCCTACCTTTCCAAAGTTGGTATCACAGGAGTCAAAGTGGATGTTATTCATGTAAGTATTCAACATATCACCATCTTATTTTCTGCTGTATTTTCTTATTTGATTATCTATATTCACTTGCAGACTTTTAACTGTTTACATGAATTTTCCGTATAGACTCTTGAATATGTATCTGAGGAATACGGAGGCCGTGTGGAGCTTGCAAAGGCTTATTACAAGGGGCTGACTCATTCTCTTCAGAAGAACTTCAATGGGACTGGACTTATTGCTAGCATGCATCAATGCAACGACTTCTTCTTCCTTGGGACAAAGCAAATCTCTATAGGAAGAGTTGGTAAGAAAATCCAAACAAATCGATATTGTGTATAACCTATAACTTCATTTTAAACCACAGGAGATGTCATCATGGATGTTATTCTTCTATTGCAGGTGATGATTTTTGGTTCCAGGATCCAAATGGAGATCCTATGGGAGTTTACTGGTTACAAGGTGTTCATATGATTCATTGTGCCTACAACAGCATGTGGATGGGTCAGATCATACATCCAGATTGGGATATGTTCCAATCAGACCATCCGTGTGCCAAATTTCATGCAGGATCTAGGGCTATCTGTGGGGGTCCGGTATATGTAAGCGACTCGGTTGCTGGTCATGATTTCAATCTCATTAAGAAGCTTGTTTACCCAGATGGTACCATCCCCAAGTGCCAGCATTTTGCGCTTCCCACCAGGGACTGCCTCTTCAAAAACCCTTTATTCGACAACAAAACTGTTCTGAAAATTTGGAACTTCAACAAGGTATGTTCCTCAATCTCATTAACAAGATACTGACAATCTGTAAATTGAGACCAGCAAGGCATTGTGTGATCATACTTGTCATTTTCTACATACTAGGACAACTTATTTTGTAGTCTGTTGCAATTTGATTGAGAAAGATACTTACTCAATTTATTATAATTATTCCACAGTATGGTGGGGTGATTGGAGCTTTCAACTGCCAAGGGGCTGGCTGGGACCCCAAGGAGCAGAGGATCAAAGGCTACTCAGATTGCTACAAGCCAATCTCTTGTTCATTGCATGTTTCAGAAATTGAATGGGACCAAAAGATAGAAGCAGCCAATCTATGTAAGGCCGAAGAGTATGTGGTCTATCTCAACCAGGCTGAAGAACTTCGACTAGTGACCCCGAAATCTGATGCAATTCAAATCACCATCCAACCATCTACTTTCGAGCTTTTCAGCTTTGTGCCAATTAAAAAGATAGGAAGCAGCATCAAGTTCGCGCCAATTGGACTTACAAACATGTTCAACAGTGGAGGAAGTGTCCAAGAGTTGGAGTACAAAACTACTGCAGTTGAGTTTAGTGCCCAGATGAAGGTTAAAGGTGGAGGCAATTTCTTGGCATACTCAAGTGAGTCTCCGAAGAAATGTTGTTTGAATGGGACTGAGGTAGCTTTTGAGTGGTCAACTGATGGCAAACTGACCCTGAATCTTCCTTGGGTTGAAGAAGCTGCTGGCAATTCTGATGTGGTTTTTGCTTTCTGATTTGTATCCTAATTAACTTTGCTTAAGGCCTTAGGGTGTGACAAATTTGTAGTATATGAACTGAAGTTACTATTTTAAGCATAATGAATTCATTTTGTACCGTATAGTGATTACATTTCACATTTATTCCATCATATTATACAGTGGAGGAGGAAGACAACTTGCCTAAGGAGGCACAAAGGAGAAACTGTGTTCAAAGGAGCCACTTAACATTACCAAAGTTACATAACCGATGAAAATATACACAATTTCTAACAACTTGGTGAAACGTTTGTGGGAAAGATTTGAATATCTTTGCAAAGGGCTTAACGCTCAAGTTTTTAAAACTCTTCATCTCTTCCTGAAATCAACGGTTAGTATTAGATGACTATTGTCCTCAGGACTCTATCTTGTGTTTATGTTTATCCCATGTGGGATTCCTCTTAATTATCTGATTAC